TAACTAAAATAATATATAAAATATAATTACATTTACAAACCACATAACGTTAAATATTTATTTGTGTTTGAAGTTTACCTAATAAAGTTCAAGATCACTAATGGATTTTTTTTTTTTTTTTACCAAGTGAAACTGATTTTACTTGACAGTTTGGTGTCTGAGATACCAAGAAATGATGCACTATTTTATAGAAGTTTTGTTAACAGTGTGATTGGGACTGTAGGACATTTGTTCAGAATGGAATTAAAACACACTGAATATGAAAGTGCATTGTAAAGAAAAAAGTGTTTCAGATGTATGACTCATAATCTTTAAATAAGGGTAGCAGTTTGTGTGCTAAAATTCAATCTTAGAAGAGCAAATTCCACTAGCAGGTCTGAGGATCTACTCGTGTAGTGTAGGGCCACTCAACTGTAATCATAATTTGGATTAGATGTGAAAGTAGCTGCAGGTATTTGTGTATGTAATTCAGATTAAATAACACATATGCTTCCTTCTGCTTCTGTTTTCTTACGTACATTATTTCATATTGGATTATTGAGTTTCAAGTTTATTGCTTGGGCAAAAATTGGCTTCAGTGGTGAAGGTAGTTTAGTTTCTAAGTGAAATACAAAGCATTTTTCCCAGTGGGTTGTGGGGGCATTTTTTTGTTTCCATTTGTGAGAATATTTTGAATTCACCACAAGATTGGCTTCCAGATTCCCCGGAACAGTGTCTGGAAAGAAGTGTAAAACCTCAAATAGTTAGAAGTTGTGAAAGAAATCTGAAATTAACTTTAATGATTTTTCCGTTACTTTTTTTTTTAATCCCAGGCGATTATTTTCCTCTGCCAAATTAGTGTAGACAGATGTTGTTTTTCCCTTAGACAATATGTCAATTAATGCCAAACTGAAAGATCTAAGAGTTTCTAATACATGTATTGAATGCAATGTACAGTTTGAATTTTAGAAATTTCATGTTTACTCTGTCTTTAGTTTTGGATAGTATGAATTTTCTTTCCTTGTTTCAGGCTGGTTTGTTCATTGATAAGGGTGTTAAAACAACTAATGCTAGCATTGATGATCCCAGAGAATACCTTTGTTTGGACAACAATGCAAGGTAAAGGATATTGTCTTTTAAGTGAGTGAAAAATGACAAAGTTGTGAGATTGCTCTTACATCCATATGAGGAAAAACATTTGAAAAACAATATGATGATTTATAAATAATAATTGACCAATAAGTTCATATATATGCTTTTCCCTCATTTGCTTATTTGTTTTGGTAACAATGAGCATGATGTGGCTTAAAGGAGTTGGCTGTTTCTTCTGAGCCCTTGCTCAAGGTGGTTTTCAGCCTCTTAGAAGACATCGTTTAAAACATGCTTTACTATCATGCTTAAAGTATTTTCCAGAATTGCTGCTAGAAGTAAAGTCTTACTTCAAAATCTGCTGTTCTGATTTATGACTCAGTTTTAAATAATTCTTAGAAAAAGGCTTAGTAGAGCCAAGTAATACATCCATTTGCCTTTCCTACTACTGAATGCTTCCTGCTGTACCCTCTATGCTAGGAGATCATAACTCAGTGGTACAATTTTACTGAAGGCTATTTCCAGAGACACTACAGTCAACCACACTTTCTTTAGTTTACAAAGTGAGAAAAAACAATGGATAGTTAGTGAAAATTCCAGGTTATACTGTGCCTGATTAGTCTTGTCCTGAACTTCAAATAAAATAGCCTGGGATAGTTGTCAAATGACAATATTGGATAACTATCTGTCAACGTTTTGTTGTGACAACTAAGCATTAAGACTGAAAATATAGGTCATAGGGTTATCTTTATTTCCGATTGACCTGTGTTTAGGGTGAAGATAGCGAAGTGATAGTTGCAGATGCAAAGAGGAAAGTTTCTAATTTTTGGTCAAGAGGAACATATGAGGGGCAAAACGCCCTGGGAGAACATGTAGTGTGTTAACAGGTCATCAACAGAGGCAAGAAACTTAGTGCATGAAATGAGGTTCATGTTCCACAACAGCCAAAGAAGTAATGAGGCACTCTGTAACTACATGAGGCCACTAGTCATTGTACATGGAACCAAAGTGAAACTGGAGGGATTTCAATGTTAATTGAGGCACCTGAAACTGCCAAAAATAAGCATTCACATGTTCTTTTCTTCTTCCCCTGGTGGGAGGCAGGGCAGATCCAAATTAAAGTACAAAGCGATCGGGTAAAGGGCATGTATATCTTCACCTGCTCAAAATGCATTTTTGTAATATTTTTAATGTATTACTTTTTCTCTGGGGTCTTGGGGATAATCAAGTGAAAGCTTCCACCAGTCTTTAATCAGGCTGTTTCTTCCTGTTGTCTAAAATAGATTCCAGCCATAACTTTTACCATACAAGACCATCTTGGTAGCAATACAGAGTGTCTGGGTTGGAATAGAAAAATATCACAGGTGTGCTCAAAGAGCACTCCTCAGAGTCAGAAGAGTTTGAAAGACTTAAAGGAGCAGTTAGACAAACCTCCGGCCTTTTTTTGTTGAGTGCACGTCAGCCCTGTGTATCCTTCCAAGGGGCTGTAATTTCCTTCATCGAACTTGCACATTAATGCTGCAGTACAAGTGGGGAGGGAGTATTTGGGGAAGGCAAAAAAAAAAGGGGGGGATAAAAGGAAGTGAGATGTAGTTAATGAAACTCGGGAAGATTGAGCAAAAGTCTGAGAGAGTTACTGGGAAAGAAAAATTTTATGTTCCTGCTTCATTATACCCCAGAGACACTTTTCTAGAAATGGAGAGCTAGAGATGCACATGATTGTGGCTTCTGTCATTCCAAACATGAAGCATAGTGGATTTTGTCCATCAGATGAGCATGAGTGTTTATCTTTCAGGCTCTCTCAGCCCTACATATTACACATGTAAAACAAACAGTACTCTTATGTTGAGTATTTGGGTTTTTATCTGTCCCAGGTTTCGACCTCATCAAGATGCAGACCCCGAAAAGCCCCGAGTTGCTGCCCTGATTGACAGATTAATCTCTTTCAAAAACAATGATCATGGGGCCTGGGTCAGGGGAGGGGATATCCTCATTCAAAACTCTGGGTAGGTATCTGGAAGCAAACGGCTGCATGTTGTTAAGAAGAAGCTTTGTTTATAAAAGTGCATTACAACAGAATTATAAGAGTTGATGCTTAGCTCAAGGAACTTCTCAATATCTTGAACCGCTTTCACACCATCTCACTACTTTAAATGAAACAAGTTTAGATGTGATTAGATGAGAACCTGCCTTATGTGGCAAAAAGAAACTATGTAATAAAAAGAAGTCTAAAATTTGGTAGAGACAGTAAATTTATACTGAGGTGTCTGGTTTCCCTGAAGCTCTATCCTCCTGCTTAAAATATATAGAAAATTACTTTTTTTTTTTTTAACAGCAACATTTTTATAAGAGTTAAGTGTGTGGTGGTTCTAAATTCCATTAATAGAAGAATTCAGGCTTTCTTCAGTGTATAGCAGGATGTGCTCTTACAGTAGCTTATTGTGGGATAATCCAGAAAACATGACTGAAACTTTGAACTTCCTTCTAGGTTTGCAGACAATGGAATAGGTTTGACATTTGCTAGGTGAGTACTTCGTTAATCACTTCTGTTTTTTCTTGCCTAGAAGCTTAGAAAATATAGATCCATCTATTAAAATTAGTAAGTATTCTTTCATAAGGCTATATTTTCATTTTTGGGCCCAGTTCTATTTCCAGTGGTGCAGATGATGTTATAAAGGCTGTAAATTGACACAGCTGCCAAAGGTTGCACTTTAATTCAACCTGTGTTTGGTTTACACCACAATTTGCTGCCTTTTCACCAGAAAGATTATACTTATCCAGGTATTTTTGGTATTGTATGATTCCGTAGGCAGTTTTGATTTTCCTCCTGAACAGATGAAAGTGAGTAATGGAAAAGAAAGTGGATGAGCATTTAGACGGGGCAGAGTATCTTTCTAACAAAAAATAATTGAGTAACCTAAGTAGTAAGCCAAAATTGCTGCCATTTAGGTTATGACAAACTGGTTCTAGGATTGCAGAAGTGGGCTGCAAAAGAAAGAGTGCTGCACTACAAAGGGAGATAGAAAATCTAATGCTCAGCCTGCTGGCATTTCAAACAGCTTTGTAATACTGTTAATGATTAAATTTATTGTTATATGTATTGTAAATGAAGTCTAGACTGCTGTGCTTTCAGAGGACTGTTACAGAAGTAAAAATAGGATTATGCCTCAGTGTGTTCATCAGCTGGAGAGTCTTGGCTAAAACCTTATCTCTGATCTTGCTTTGATAGTGATGGGAGCTTCCCAAATGATGAAGGTGCCAGCCAGGAGGTATCAGAGTCGCTGTTCATAGGTGAGAGCAAGAATTACGGGTTTCCAGGTGGCCAAAATAAATATGCGGGAACTGGAGGAATAGACAACAAGGCACGTACTCTGCCTAGAAATCGGTAAGTACGTTATGAGTGAAGAAAGTAGAAATGATATAAGAAATGTTCTGTGTCAGATGTAAACACCATTCTTGCTTGAGCTGTGAGAAATTAGGGCTCTGTTGAAGGTATGCTCTCTTTTCCTTTTTAAAACTTTGTGTGCAGCTATGTCACTCTCCCTTTCTTGCTAAGTCAGTTTACACCTGATGCTACCACAGGTCACTTTTCTGTAGCAATTTAAGTTATCCTACTTCAGTGAAACCTTAGTCTTAAACAACATTTGGGCCTGGAAGAGAGAAAAACAAAACTTTCAGATAAGAGGACTTTAAGGGTCAGTTAAGGACTAGGATGTATAGTCTTCTGTGACAAATCTCAATCTGTGACCAGATTCTGGCTTGCTGTGATGCTTCTTTAACATAGTGTCAAGTCCTACCCTCGCCACAGAATAGGAAAGAAGGGTAAGGTAGGTCTAGGCTGCCCTGTCTTTTTTGCTGCTTAGCCATTTAGAGGGAAGAAGTTAATGTGGTGATGATATATGAGGTATTCAGTCTAGTTGAGTAGAATCACAGAACAGTTGAAGTTGGAAGGGACCTCTGGAGGTCCTTTTGTCCCCGACTCTAGCAGGGCCACTTAGAGCTGCCTGTCCAGGGCCATGTTCAGGTGGCTTTAGAATATCTCCAGGGATGGAGACTCCACAACAGCCCTGGGTAACCTGTGCCTAAGTACTTAGTCACACTCACAGCGAAAAAGGTTCTCCTCATGCTCAGGAGAAATCTCCTGTTTTTCTGCTTGTGCCCATTGCCTCTGGTCCTGTCACTGGGCACCACTAGAAAGAACCTGTCTTTGTCTTCTTTGCACCCTTCCTTCAGAGATTCTTGTACATTGATGAGATTCCTGCCTGAGCATTCTCTGGTCCAGGCTGAATAGTCTGATGTCTCCCAGTGTTTCCTCCTTTGGGAGATGCTCCAGTCACTTAATCGTCTTTGTGGCCTTTTGCTGGACTCTCTCCAGTAGCTCCATGTCTGTCTGGTACTGGGGACAAGCACTCTAGGTGTGGCTTCACCAGTGCTGAATAGATGGGATGGATCACCTCCTTCAATCTGCTGGCAACACTTCTCCCAGTGCAGCCCAGGATACCACTTGTCTCTGCAACAAGGGCACATTTTTGGCTTATGGCTAACTTGGTTTCCAGCAGGACCCGTAGGTCCTTTTCACTGGTGCATAGGTGCAGGACTTTGCACCTCCCCATGTTGAACTTCATGAGGTTCCCATCTGCCCACTTCTCCAGCCTGTTGAGGTCTATCTGGATGGCAGCATGACCTTCTGGTGTATCAGCTGCTCCTTGCAGTTCTGTGCCCTCTGCAAACTTGCTGAGACTATGCTCAGCCCCATCATTCAGATCACTGATGAAGGTGTTGAACAAGATTGGGCCCAGTATTGATCCCTGGGATGCACCACTAGTTACTGGCCTCTAAGTAGACTTCATGCCACCACCCTCTAGGCCCCGCCATTCAGTTAGTTTTCAATCCACCTTGCTGTCCTTTAGTCCAGCCCATGCTTAAAGAGGATCTTATGGGAGACAGTGTCAAAAGCCTTACTGAAGTTTAGGTAGACCATGTCCACTGCTCTCCCCTCAGCTACCAGGCTAGTCATTTCATCACAGAAGTTTATAAAGTTGGTCAAGCATGACTGCTCCTTGGTCAATCTATGCTGATTACTCCTCATGACTTTCTTGTCCTTCATGTGCCTTGAAATGGTTTCCAGGATTAGCTGCTCCATCACCTTCCTGGGGATCAAGCTGAGGCTTACCAGCCTGCAGTTCCCTGGGTATTCTGTCTTGAGTTCAGAAGTGACACTTGCTTTCCTCCAGTCTATGGGCACTTCTCCCAGTTGCCATGATCAATCAAAGAGCAGGTGGTATTATTCTCCTGCTGTATTTCCCATACTGGAAAGGGGCAAGTTTGTGAATGGACAGTGATAGCTCTTCTAACAGGAAAACTCAAAAGAGTGGAGGATTTTTTGACTCATTAGGTAAGTGCGGAAGCATGATTTCCTTTGCTGAGATCTGACCTGCAAGTCATTCTTTTAATGTTACTTTCTTGATTCCTTTGAGAGGAAATCTAATTATGACACAGATTCAGGCTTATCATGGGTTTTGTTACAGCATGCTATAAGTATTTGCTTGCATTAACAGGACATTTCCAATCAGAGGCTTTCAAATTTATGATGGACCTGTTCATCTTACCAAGTGCACGTTCAAAAACTTTGTGCCAACTCCAGACAGATTTACCAGTGCAGTTGGATTCTTGATGAAAAATCCATGGCAGATGACACCAAAAAACAACATTTCTCTTGTGAAGTTTGGTCCAAATGTAAGTTTATTACAAGTTTTCTTTTATTCTTGCAAATGGCTTTCTCTTCTTCTTGCTGTATTTAAAATAAACATCCAAGGGTCCTAGGTCATCTTTTCCATACATCCCTGCTATAGAGTTTCTCTCTTGGTTGGAAGTCACCCAAGGTATATCCTTTGTCTTCCGAGTACAAAGTAATACCAAAGGAGATGTAGGATGTGTTGAAATAATGATCTCTTTCACAGCTAACGGTAAAGCTGAAAGGTGGTTTTTCTAAGGTTCAGTATATCTTTAGCAATGAATTTTCAGCTGCAAATATTAACACTGTTCAGAAGCAAGAGCCAGCCTGAGGCTAATGCTAAAATCAGAATGTCTGTTTTACAAGATTCCACTGTCCTTGCCATAATGAACTTTGTCAAATTCCTGTGTTTCTGCAGGTGTGCAAGTGTTAGCCTGTGCTTCGCCTGGGGAAAAAAATAAATATTTTAATTGTTGTTGCCAGGTTTCTTTGAAAGCCTTCTTTGGAAAACCTGGTCCTTGGTTTGAAGAAGGAGATCTGGATGGTGACAAGAACTCAATATTCCATGATCTAGATGGCTCAGTGACTGACTACAAGGATACCTATGTGGGCAGAATGGATAACTACTTGATTCAACACCCCAAATGCATTAATATTACAGAATGGAGTGGCGTGGTTTGCAGTGGGACCTATGCACAGGCTAGTACTCTTGTAGCTTTCTGTTTGGGGCAAATCTAGAATATGAACAACTTGTGGGGCCAAGGGGAATGTAAGAGCTACAAGATTATGTATCTTTTCATTTTAAAATTCTTCGACTTTTTAAAATACTTTTATGCATACTACACTTTTCAGCCAGTTGTGTATATTGTGTTCCCTTCAGCACACAAACTGTGATTACAGTATTAGATGCTGCAAGGTAAAACCAAATGTGTATACATGCCAGGAGTTCTATGTTGCAGGCCTATCTGCTAAATCATTTTTGCCTTGGAGGTGTTTTCTTCCACTGGAGTTCTGTTGTTCTTTTTTTCACAGAGTGAGTTTTAAGAGGTGCTTTTTTTTTTTTTTTTAATGGAGATGTTAAATACCACCTTCTGACTACAAATGTCACATGTTTGATTCCCATTCTGGTTCCTGTTCTATAGGAGTTTGACCAAGTACCATAGCTGATTCTATATATTTTAATTTTTTTTCCCCTCCCTCCCCTTTTTTCTGTCTGTAAAAGGGACAAAATCTACAGTAGTTTTTCAAGTAGGGCTCTTCCTCAGGAGGTATTTGTGTATTGTGTAACTTAGAACATCAAATTGCAGGGTTTTGGCTAATAATGTACTGGTTATTCTTCACTATTTCATTTCCTTTTGTACAGTGTCCAAATATTTCTCTTTTTTTCATCCTTCTTAATATCATATAGGTTTATGTCCAAACGTGGAATGGACAGAATCTTTCCATGACTATTGTACGAGATGAGTATCCAGCCAATCCCATGGTTCTTCGAGGTATTAATCAGAGAGCTGTCTTTCAACAATATCAGCCAGTAGTGATGCTCCAAAAGGGCTACACAATACATTGGAATGGAAAAGCTCCAAACGTCACCTATCTTTATCTAATTAACTTCAACAAGTATGTTTACTTTCTTTCATGTCACTGATCTGTAAGGCAATAGTGAAGTACTGTCCTCCAGAATTAGCATGTATGAGAGTTTGCAACCATCAGTAAGACTGGATCTTGGGTTGTGGGGTTTTTTTTGTTTTGGTTTGGGTTTTTTTTTTCATAAATACAAATACTAAAATATGAACAGCAAGAGGTGAAGCAATAGACCTGCACCTAAAGTTAAACTTCTGTCAAATGCAGTGTCTTTAAGAAAAATCCTTTGGAGAAGAAAATGTGCAAATAGTGAAGCTGAGCAGAATTGGAGTTGAATAGTTTAGCATACTTGATTTGGTTGTCAGATAAACTCATTAAATATATAAAATATAAAATCAAATCTCTCCTGGGAGTATTAAAGTTACTATAACATTTAATGAAACACTTTGTGTAGAGGCGGGAAGAAAGACAGAATCACAGAATCATTAAGGTTGGAAAAAACCTTCAAGATCATCAAGTCCAACTGTTAACCCAACACCACCATGCCCTCTAAACCATGTCCTGGAGTGCCACATCCACATGTTTTTTGAACACTTCCAGGGATGGTGACTCCACCACCTCCCTGGACAGCCTGTTCCAATGCTTGACCACTCTCTCGGTGAAGAAATTTTTCCTAATATCCAATCTAAACCTCCCCTGGTGCAACTTGAGGCCATTTCCTCTCATCCTATTGCTAGTTACTTGGGAGAAGAGACCAACACCCACCTCACCACAATCCCCTTTCAGTAGTTGTAGAGAGTGATAAGGTCTCCCCTTAGCCTCCTCTTCTCCAGACAAAACAACCCCAGTTCCCTCAGCCGCTCCCCATAACACTTGTGCTCCAGCCCCCTCACCAGTTTCATTGCCCTTCTCTGGACACGCTCCAGCAACTCAATGTCTGTCCTGTAGTGCGGGGCCCAAAACTGAACACAGTATTCAAGGTGAGGCCTCACCAGTGCCGAGTACAGGTGTACAATCACTTCCCTACTCCTGCTGGCCACACTATTTCTGACACAGGTCAGGACACTGTTGGCCTTGTTGACCACCTGGGCACACTGCTGGCTCATATTCAGCCAGCTGTCAACTAGCACCCCCAGGTTCTTTTCCGCCAGGCAGCTCTCCAGGCACTCCTCCCCAAGCCACCTTATTTATGGTACTATAATTTCACTTATTTATGGTAATATAATACCACTCCTCCCCAAGACCTTCTGGTTGAGGGTTTGGGAGCTTTTTGCGTTCCTGTTACTTGTTTTTTTGAGTGCTCTGTTTGCTGTGTACTGTCATCTAATCTGTTCCTACAGTGAGTCATGCTTTTTATTTTGTTTTCAGGAATGACTGGATTCGTGTTGGTCTTTGTTATCAACCAAATACAGATTTTGTTATAGTATTGGAAACCTTTCAAAGGCGGTCATCTGCTCTGTCAAGCAAGGTAGAGCGCTACATGCCTGTATCTTCAATGATGGAGCTCGAAAAGAATCGATCAGACAAGAAATTTTACTTTGACAACAGTACTGGGTAACTCCTTGTAACTTGACCCTATTGGAAGATGATATTTAACCTTAAAATGTCTAGTTAGGTAGTGTTAAAAGCAACTGTTATGACAGTTATTATGACACCTGCATAGGAGGAATGCTGTTCTGAAGGACCCCAAAGCCTATCTGAAAGAATACTTTATGTGACTTCAAATCTCCAAAATACAGTGATTGTCACTGAAGTACTTTTCTAAGAGCGCCATGGTTGCCACAGATATTTCCTACCCCATGCCTAGGGAAAATGTGGTATCTGGTGTGTTGCAGAGCAGTGTCTTTCAGGAAGTAACTTTCTTAAGTCTTCAAAGAAAATTTGTGCTGCCTTGCTAAACTGAAAATTCTAGAAATTTCCAAGAAGCTTTATGTTGCAAAAACATTTTAAGAATGTATTTCTAAAAAATCCTAATCCTTTTTCAGACTTCTTGAAAGTACTTAAAATTCCTAGTCTCTCTTTCAAAAGTACTTCTGACAGAGGCCACTGAGATCCTTCTGAGAGGTTTAAGATATGGTCAACACTGAGTAAAATCGTTGCTTGTGTGTTTTGCAAATGTTGCTATTTAATTTGTCCTCTTACTTATTTTGTTCCCTTATCTGCTACTGTGTCTGTAGTAAATATGCAGATGAATGTAGCTTTTGAAAAGACATTTATGTTTCTTTTGTCTAAGAGCTACAGCGATAACAGTCTAATATATAATGGAAGAATTATCAGTCGCTGTGTACTGTGAACATTAATGACCACTACTCCCTAAATTACATTTCCAGGCATTTGCAACACTGCAGTTACATTGTCCAGTGCTGATGGGCGAAACTGAATATCCAAACAGTTATTGTTGGGTATCTGCAAAGATCTGTGATCAAAGAAAACATTTATGCTCTGTAGGGTTTTTTTTGTTTCCTGCAAGCCACTGATTTGAGGAGTGACTGTTGTTTTCAAAGCATATGCATTCATAATGATGTCTCCTTTAATTGTTGGGAATTTCAGCAGCAACTTCCTAACTCTACTAAACTGTAAATATTTTGAAAAAGTTTGAACAATGATGCAGAAGTGAATTCTATAGTCTCTCTGCTTCTGAAAATTATGAAATATAGCTGTTAAGGTTTAACAGATATACCTATCTTTCCAGCAATTGATGTAGATTCTTTCTCCCCCTCTTGTGTAGATTACTGTTTTTATTTCTTCAAGCCAAATATAATAGGGATGGTCACAGTTATTGCTCATCTCAGGGATGTGAAAGGATCAAGATTGTGACCAAAGATTCAGCAAAAGGGATCAGTAACTGCATGGCAAAAGCTTACCCAAAGTACTACCAAGGACCTACCGTCATAAAGCGGATGCCAGTAAAAACTACTGTACCATGTACAAAATGCGGCACAACTCAGGTAAAATAAACCAAGCAAAAACTTTCATGAACTGTGTAGTTGGTGTTGCTGTCTACTCGCTTTAAGGCAGAATTTCAGTCTTTCAGCACAGAATACTGCACCTACCAGTTTGTGATGGCCACGTTGTTAATCCGTGCGCTGGAAGGCGGGGAGTCCCTTGTAGTACAAAGGTTTCCATTTCTGTTCTTTAAAAAATACTGCTTCACCTCTCACTCTGAGTGCTACGGAGAAGGGACATAAGTAGATCTGATGTCTTGTACTACAGTATTGTCTGTACTTCACGTAGGATAGCTTTGCTGCTGAGGTCTATATGCTATTGGCCAACCTTCTTTCTTGTTTTTTGGATCTTTGCTTATCATCATGAACATGAAATTTCATTATCCATTTTAGCTATACAAGCTGAGAAAAATACTGAAAGTAAGAAATAAAATATCATGACGTACAGTGTAACCTATTTTTTAGTATTGCTAGTACCATAAATAAAGCCACTGCCAAATGGATGCATTTGCTTTGGAGCATGGGTGGTCTGTTGTAAATTGTCTGGCATGAAAGCGTTGAATGCACATGGATATGTGTACTTAACATGTTACGTTTGATATCCAGATGGTATTCACCAGCGATCCTCACAAAAACTACCTCCTTGTGCAGATTAATTCATCTGGTAAAAAAGAGTTAAGCAGAGGTCAGCAAGCATTTATTTCTGTAAGTATTCTTTGTGATTTTCTTCTGACTATCTTTCTTTTTAGCAATTTGTTTTACAGCAGTTGTACAGCTCTACGTAATGCTGACCTCACTTTTCTTGACCTGAATGAAAAGTATTGGTTTGTAGTTTAAAAACCAAACAGTCAAAAAGCTGATCTTTTAACCTCATAAAATGAGACTCCAAAGCTCCATTTTGTATTTGAATCCTTTCCTGCTGGAAAGAAAATTTCTCCAGTAAAGGAGAGTTTAAAATCTTCAGATTCATATTGAAGTCTGGATGGATAAACATTTACTGATGGCTGCTTTGTGGAGGGAGTGGTGCAGGGAACACAAAAAAACCAAAACCAAACAACTTGTTAGTTAAATCCATGTTGTTGAAATATTTAACAGATTGGTGAGTTAATGGGATGACTCATTCGAGCCATTAAGGTTTCATAAACTCCCTTCAAAATGGCAGTTACTAAAGAATCCATAGAGATTTCTGTACCTGTTCTGATGTGGTCCTGAAAAGCCTAGTGACCTGATACCGTATAAAAAGTAGTTTACTTAGATTTTTCTATATGGATGATGAAGGGAACTTGCATGTGATGCTGAAATAGTGTTTGCAGTCATCCTCACACCACAAAGCTTAAAGTCTGTATGCGGCTTACATTCAGCAATGTCAGTGCATTAGCTTGGTTGAAATAGTAAAACTCTTGAGTTCTTTAGACAAATGGCACGAGAGCAGCGTTAAACTTAGCAGCTGCAAACTTCTACAGGAACACATTTGTTGTATCCAAAACAGTAAGAGCACTCTGTAGGAAGAAACTGGGCTGCTGTGGAGACAGATTAACTATGCTATTGCTAAGAAGTCCAGGTGGTTCAGTATCAGAATTTTAGCTTCCTGAAGCAGGAGCAATGACTGAGGCAGGTGGTAAGTCACCTGAAGTGTATGATTTCCCTGTAGAAGCCAGGGACTGAAGGCCCTCAAAGCAATTTCAGAAGTCCCACTGAAAGCCCCCCCCTCAAGGGAAGGCATGAAGAGATGCTAGGGAGCAGCACGTATGTGTAAGGAAATCGGTACACCGCTGTGTCTAAATTAGATGAAGATTTAACACTGAGTGCAGTAGAATCACTGTTGAATTCATGTTGACTTCAAGAAAAACAGACAAAGCTCTTTTCTGCTTTTCATCTTCCATTCAGGTCAACGACACTATGTTTTCCTTCAAGGATGATGGTATACTTATTGTTGTAGTTGATGCCTGCATTGGCACTGTGTTGGGAAACAAATTATTTTCTGGAGTAGACATTAAGCGTGTAGATGGATATTTAAAATCTGGAATTCCACAAAGGTATGTGTGATGACCATTTATTTCCAGTATGTCCTGTAAGCTGTAGCTCTGTTTTCTAATAAGGATTTAAATAATGATGTCTGTATACTGAAAATGAGCAAAATATGTAAGTTGAGGGGAAAGGAGAAACATAGGAGCATTTTAACAGATAACCTAGCCTTATTTGAGAAAACAAAGGAATTCTAATTTTGAACACTTACAGCTTTCCAGTGTTGCCTGTCTTTTATCTCAAGAAGAATTTTTTTTAACTAGACATCATGTAATAACACTTATTTGCTTAAAACAAGAATAATTTTTTTTTTAATGAGGTCACTTAAGGACCCTGGCAAGAACTATGTGACAAAATATCATACTGTTCTCTCCCTATCTAGGGAGAAAATTGATTACCATTAAAGAAAGATAAAAAATTAGGGTCAGAAAAATCAGCATTCTAATATTCTTATTTTGGATCAATATCTAAACTTTATTTTTTAATATAAAATATTAACTATATTTAAATAACACTCTCCAATGATTTTGAAGTTAAATTTAAGAGTCAGGTAAAGAAAAAAAAAAATCTAGTTGGGTGTTTTTCTAGGTACTGCTTTCAGAGAGGGTTGATTATTTCCATGTCATGAAACAACATGGCATGAGCACTTTTAAGCAAGTGGATTATGAGGCCAGCTAACTGTAAAAGCATGTAACAGAATATTAAGAAAACTTTGTGTTTATGACAGCTGCTGTCTCTGCACTGTTTCTGCTGCAGGTCTATTGTTCTACTTGGCACAAGAGGTGATGTAGCAATCCCTAATAATTTATCAGAAGCCTTAGTGTCCCTGGGGACGGCCAAACCACCTTATCTTCAGAGCAACGGTTGGTGGAAATTTTGTGCATTTCTTTGACACTGCCTGGGTCTGTGTGTTTATGTTGGCACGGTGGGTTTCTCACGGCGTGTGTGAGGAGGATGCAGCTGGCGGAGGATGGTTGCCAGTTTGCACTGCTGTGGGCTGCTGCATTTCAGCCCTTGTTGGGCGGTGTGAGGTGGGCCCTTGAGCAAGATGGGGCAGAACACCCTTCCTCTTGCCCTGAAGGGCATTGTGTGAAGCTTGTTGCAAGCAGAGAGGTGACTAGTGGTTCTTTGTGTCTGTGGATTACAGAAAAAGAGCCCTAGGCTTTTTTTCCCAAAGCCTGTATTTTGTGCCCCACCCAGTGAACCTATTTTTAAACAATCTCCTCTGCCAGGCTTGTATTTCCTGTTCTAAAAAAATTTGAAGGTAGAGATGAGAAGTTGTTGGTATTTTGAGGGATGATCACTTCGTAGGCCACATGGGGTAGCTCTCATCTGTTCAGGGCCCTGTCTCAAGTTCTGGCTGAGAAAGCAGGTTTTATAACTGTCTCGATAGCTGTGTTTTCAAATTAAGATTTCAGAGTGTTTAATACTGAATATTGAAACGGGAAATTGCAAATCAGTATTTCCTTGCGAGGTGCATGTAAAGCTGAGAGTGGATTAATGTCCTGAATAATATGGGGCAGGGCGGGGAGAATTTCAGAGGAGTGTGCCGTTCCCTTCCCAACTGGTCCTGTGTTGTTCTTGGACGGGCTTGGCTGGTTGGGTAACACTGAGCTGTTTTTTTGTCACAGGAAGCCTGGCCTTTCTGGGCTTCAGAGGAAACTTTAAGCCATCCTGGATTAAGCTGTTTACTGGTCCTGCTGGGCATGGGCTTGTTCAGACAGAAAAGTATATCCCTTTACAACTGGAAGAGTATGGCTGCGCCAGAGCAATCAAAAGCCGACGGAAAGACCTCGAGCTTCTGAAGAAGGCTACACGATCTCATTAAAGACTAAGATGTAGATAAAAGCTGGGGAAAAAAATGTGAACTAACTTATTTTTTAATTTATGGCATTTTAAACTATATTGTTATCCAAGTAAACCATGTTATTGTTTGACATGTTTGCCAACATTGACTGCTTGAATGCCAATCTGTGCACCTTCTAGTTGTACAAAATATTAAAGAATTTATTAGTATTTGTATAAACAGGTTCCAGAGATTTTTCAGATGTTTGTATTTACTGTAAACAAGTTCCTTCTGTTTAATACTCCTTTTTGTAAGTGGGTGTTCATAAAAGCCTTAAATTTTTGATAACACGTGTTGGAGTGCATTTTGGATTACTTGAACATTTAACATTAAAGTCTCCATAAACAGCTTGAATTGGTTATAATAACTTATGCATTCCCCTCAGTTGTTGAGGTGTTTTCCTGACGGTTTATTTAGCAGTAAGCTCAGTTACATTCTCAGTCTTACTTTCCAAGGTGTTAAAACCCAATTTTCCTTATGCATGCAGCTGACTAAAGGGCTTTTAACTGCAGTAAAATTTCTGCTTTGCTGTATGAAAGATGGAAAGGGGGGATTCAAAGACCCAACCTGCAGCTGGGTGGGGATTGTGTACAGTACAACAGAGTTTAAAAAGGCTGTGTGTACCAGTATGGCATACAGAGCAGCAAATGACTACCATTCTTTGGGGTCATTGTTTACCATTCACCCCTAAATATACAGGTATCTGTAAGAATTACTTCAGTAATTAAGGCTGCAGTCTTGGGTACAGCTTGATTTCAGCTTTTTCTTTTAAAGCTTTTAGCCAGAAGGGCAAAGCTGAGATATTGTTATTCTCAAGCCTCTACTCTTGCAGTGATTTTTTTTTTTTTTTTTTTTTTTAAGGCTATCCCAGCTCTAACTTTCAAGTGAATGGAAAGTGCACTCAGTTCATTCAGGCATGTTATATCTTTTCCCTTAACTTTGATTCTTTTAATATACTCATATTGCTAATTCCTATTTATTTTTATATTAGGTCCGTTTGATTTCTTTTGGTTTTGTTGCAATTATTTGAACTTTCTGCACATAGTGTGAAAACCATTTAGAAGAACTGGGGCACAGCTGCCCTTTTTCAGGATCCTAGTCTTTGAAATTAAATTTCAGGGACTGTGAAGATGCATTTCATAATAGGGAACAATAGGTGCTGTAGAGCTAAAATGTAACCATAGTTGTAATAAAACTGACATAGTTCCTTCTTGTATGTGTTCTCATTCATTCTAGCTGGTATAACGTATCTATCATTCAGAGATGCTTTGTGCTTTGAATTCAAAATGGAGTGGTTGTTGGAAATGAACTATATGCCTGTCTTCTCCAAAGAAGTTGAAAAACTGTGGGGATTTTTTTGTGCTTTAAAGGAGAGGAGGCACAGTAGCAGACCTATTCTTCTGCTCAACTAAAATATGCTACCTCAGTGCTACGATTAAACTGCCTGGTCTAGTGTAGTTTCCGAAGTGAGAGGGGAGGGGAAAGGAGCACCACACAAGAGGTGGAGTTAACAAATAGATGACTGATGTTATTTTTATTGTAAAACCAAGCCAAATGGATGATTGTGTATTTTGCAGTTGTTGATGCACAGTTCTGTTATAATGTTTTTTGTTTTGTTTTGTTTTTTTTAAATTGTTTTGTTAGGGGGAGATGTGGTAAATCTTTAAGACTAGCTATAATGTTTGGTGTTACTAATGCAGGGCAATGTGATTTAAATGCTCTGAGTGCAGTAGTGATAGTATTTGGGGATTAAAATGATGTTAAGACTTCCACTGTTCTGTGGGTCATGCTCAGCAGAGAAATACCAATGAGGTAGTGACCTTCAGGCTTGTGAAGTTGGCCATTATTTATGAGATTCTGCTGTTCTAAGCCATCTTGTAAAAATTGTACTTGGAATCGTCAAGGATATTCTGATGTAAGGCTTACTGATGGACAATTGGACCTGAAGTTGAAGTGTTGTCTTCTGTGTAAATTTAAAGACGTGATAAATAGCATAAATAAAGTTTTACATCTGTCAAGGCAATAAAATCTTGGGTCTCTTCTGTTCTTGTATCAAGTGATTTTTGTCATGTGTGTTGTGTGAATACTATGAACTATTTTATTTCAAACACCAATAGACGTGTGAGGTTTAATGGAGAGTATCCTGCTCTTCATTCAGAGACAATTTGGGAATACTGGGAAAGGAGCCACTAACGGCGACTGAAGCTATGGGCCTGTCTCCAGAGTCTCTCATCTTAAAGTCTGTCTGAGCTGTTAGCTGAGTGTAGAGGCATTTCAGCTTGGCAGCGGGCAGTGCATTATTCTTACCTGCTCGGGGGCATCTTATCCACGTCTATAACTACCTGCTGGGCGCGTAAAGAAGTTGGAGCCTGGCTATTCTCAATGGTCCCCAGTGGCACAGGACTAGAGGCAGTGGGCACACCTTGCAACGCAGGCAATTCCACACAGACAGAAGAAAAACTTTTACAGAGCAGGGGCTCGAGCACTGGAACTGATTGCCAGAGAGGCTGTGGAGTTTTCATCTGTGGAAGAGCAGCTGTAGCTGCATGTAGTGTCCTGGGCCATCTCCAGAGGTGGCTTCCAGCCCGGGTGCCACTCTGGTTGTGTGCAGTTAAAATTAGCAATGTACCTCGCCCCTCTTTTCCAACTGCACCAGCCACCGCAGCCTGCAAGGGCTGAGCCATGCACTTTTTACCTCATGCCTGAAATTTGGTGAGGTCTGAAAAATGAGGCATCACTGCCCCAAACCCAGTCCAAAGGGCATTGTAATTGCCTCTTCATGGTCAGGCTTTGTATACAAATAGATTGTTTTCCATTCCTTACTCAAATGGCATCATTCTGCAGTAAATAAAAAAACTTGCTGGGAAAGCAAGGAAGAAAGGAAGGTGAAGTTAGAGCTTTTTAAGGCGTATCTGGGCTCATGTCCTTGCTCCACAGGGGTTTTTTGCATTTTATTTTGTAATTGTTACAAAGTTTTAAAAACAACAACAAAAAAACCCAACATAAAGAATAAGTAAACTGCTTGGACCCAATGTCTGATTAAGTACACTATCAATAAGGCACTCTCTCTGGCCAATGGCACCACTGAAAATCCACTATAGGAGGGGCTGGAGACCCATCTGTAAAGAGCCAGGATGATGGCAAGGGCATGCTTTAGGAAAAGATAGACTTCATTCTGCATATTGTGGGAATGCAGTGACAGCTGAGGTCCCAGATAACTTCTGACCCAGGACATGAAAATAAGTTCTCCTGTTTGGAGCAAGTCCTGTGATTTTCCGCCACTTCCCCTCAACTCCTTTTCACATTATGTAGGAAGGATGTACATCTGAGGACAGTCACGCAGCTCTGACTGAAAAGCCCAGTCCACCGGGTTTGATGATAACTGTATGATGCAATGGTCAGTGAAGGACAAAAGGGTATGTCACAGCTATATTTGTTCAAGATGATCCTGGTGTAATCCTAGTGTCCAAACATCTATAAAGTGCAAAGAAAAGCAGTACCTTCTGAACTTCAAAATTGCGTTTATGTGAGCTTTTCTCAGTAATTACTTTTCTATCTCTTTCTGGTCATACTTGTTCTAGTGCTTTTGGAAGATTTCTGTCTTTTCCTAGAGTTCAGAAGCATGTTTTTTCTTTTCTAATGCTTTCTTTTTCCCGTGTCTTGTGCGAGTTAAAATTCTAAAATAACACTCTGCATTTAAGTATATAAGGCCACCTTTGACTTGAGAGAATTTATGGGCTTTTTAATTATATGGCCTGGGAGAACTGCAATTTTGCATATTAAATTATATTAACAATTGTAACTTGCTAAGAAAAAAAAAATGTTTGTTTGGCCATTGACTTGCATGACTGGGAATGATGGGACTGGCAAGTCACAGAAGTCCACTTCTCATTTTTTATGTGATGAAACTCTGAAAAATAAATAGTTTTGGACACAATAGGAACAATTTTGGGAGAGAGCAATCTGGAGATCTCCTGAGATCAGCCTAGTCTTTTCTGATATGTCATTTTGTGCCTGGTCTTGTGTCCTTTCTTTAAACCATACTGAAAATACTCGGAGAGACTTGATCTTTTCTTGGAAGGTTTGTGGTTGTTGTATTTGGTGTACTAGTTGAGAAGTTGGCTTGGTCAGGCCATACAGAAAATTCAAAGTAATCAGTCTGTATAAACGTTGTCCTTAAAGGCCAACTTTTTCACTTTTCTGATTCCTATTGTATTTAAAAGTACAAAGCAGACTTAATTGCTATGCCTGGGAAGAAAATTCTTTGTTTCATCTTTGTCCAAGTTGAATGGGGTGACAGCTGAATATCCTGATTTATAATTTTTTTCTGAGGAAATGTTCTTAGACCATGCAATGGCCTGTCTATATATAATTTATTCTAAACAGAACATAAAAACAAAGTGATATTTCAGGGTTATTTTTGTGTGTGTGTAAGTTTATAAGTAATAATGCTGTACTAGAACTGCTATAAATATCTGGAAATACAGCTATCTCTTTCCTGTGCAACACTGGCAGTGACAGTTTCAACAGGTACACTATGATCAGTTCAGGGTGTGTTTTGTGTAATTGGTAGCTTTTAGGAGTGGATCTCAGATGATGATGTCATCTTCCTAATATCTGTGATGTTCTTCAGCAGAGGATGGTTTGCTCCATCTGCAGGGTGTGAACTATGATCTAAGAGTGTTCTTCCATCTCTGGTGCAAATGACTGGTGCATATTCTCAGTAATAGCAGACAACAACACAGTTATCTGTGGTCTCATACTGTTTCTAGTTCTGAGAAATGCTTATAATGAGCATAACTCAGTAGTATATATTGCACTTTTCTGCTTTTTAGTAGTTTTTCAAATAGTGTAATATAAATGTCAATATGGCAGCATGTTCTGGGTTAAATTTTTCTTTTAAATTAAAGTTAAATAAATTAAGTTCACATTAATAAGGATATGCCTAGCAGTTACTGATTATACAAGTAGTAAACCAGGGT